TTCTTTTTCTTCCTTTGCAGAGTATACGTATTGTGACCCGCCGGCTCCAGAGTCAAACAAGCGAAATTTCGCTTACGTCAATGGTAGTTACTCTCGCGGCACAGCAGAATGCAACAGTGGTTACAGTTTACAAGGCGACTTGCCAATGAGGTGTCAGGGTGGCAACCTATGGAGTACAGCTTGTGTAGGTAAGACAGTGCAGAATGAACGATGAGCTAAACTTGGTCTTTCACATGTGGACATTAAAGCTGTGTAGACCGAAGCTAGTGCTAGTGTGTCACTGGAGGTAACGTCTTTTGCATACGGCTGCGGGAAAACAACCGTTTGTGACTCTACTCAATCTGTCAGTGATGGGGAATTCAGCTGTTTTGGGGAATTAAGCGAAGGTGAGTCTTGGCAATTCTGAGTTTGACTCAAGCCGTGTCCGTTCTATTTTATACGGTCGCAGAACAGGTCAAGAACAGTAAATACTGTTTGTATCAACTGCGAATCACTGGACGAAGGTAGTTCAGCCTATGTACAGCGTCTTCACAAGAGAAACTGCTGGCGGAATGAGCAGAGAGTTCAGTTTGCGTCGCTTTTGCTCGACTTACTTTTGACCCTGCGTCGCTGTCGTCATCTGCTGCACGTGAGTCGTCATCTCTCTCACTTCGCTGAACTTCATGTCGCCAGTCGTTCAAGTAAGTTGGTTTTCAAGTTGAGTGATCAACCGCGGTGGCCATCACTGGTTACCACCAGGGAGTCGTAAAAATATTGTACGACTCCCTGGTTTCATCTTCGCTCTTGTCATGTCCTGGACATGGACCATATGTATGTAGTGCGCATGCTCGCACGTGAGCTTGGTCTTTTTCGGATATGGAGTTTGAGATGAACTGAAATCTGTAATGGCCTCAAGTGTGTGTGTGATCGAGCTGGATGAGTCCGAGTAGAACCCACAATAACTGGCGACGAAGATATGGCTCGGGTATCATCGCTTCAGCCGTTTACCGGCGGCGACTTTCAAGAGTTTGAGGAGAGACTTGAATTCTATTTTTTGCCAATGATATTGGAACCGTGGCTGCTTCGGCCAATGCTGCAGACAAGTTGGCTGCCAGCAAGAAAAGGAAGGCTGTATTAGTGAGTTTGCTGTCTGCGGAAGTCTACTCGATTTTGAGGAGCCTCTGTCTGCCAGCGAAAGTAGCAGACAAGAAACTGTCGGAGATTTGCTATCTTTTGAGGAAGTATTTTCAACCTGCAATTTCGCAAGTTTCGGCGACGTTCAATTTCCATCAGTTGAAGCAGAAGGAAAATGAGTCGACTGCGGATTTCATCATTCGTCTGAAGAGATTGGCTGTGAGGTGTGAGTTTGCTGATCACCTCGATCGAGGGCTTCGAGACCAGTTTATTGCTGGCTTGAGCAGCTCATCCACTCGAAATTTCTTATTGACGAAAGAAGATACTTCGGCACAGTAGTTCAATTACATCGTCAAACTAGCTTTGACGCTGGAATCGGCTGTGCGCGAGGCCGTGCAGCTGACCTCTCAGCAGGAAGTGCACAAGGTGAATCATCGGCCAGTGGAATCGCGTTCGCAGCCGCAGTTTGGTGTTTCTCGTCAATCTGATCAATCTCGAGAGCAGAGATTGTGCTACCGCTGTGGGTCTACTCAACTCTTGGCGGATAAGTGCAAACACAAGGCCACTGAGTGTCGTCACTGCCACAGGAAGGGGCACTTGGAGCGTGTTTGTCGGCAGAAATCCACGTCAGGCGCGTCGGTGCACAATGTTGTGACTGATGACGCAGGTGAGCATGAATCTCTTGATCTTGAGTGCATGCCAATATTCCACATTTCGGATCAGGGCGAATTGAAGAGCGAATCTGTTCCCTCCTACAAATTGGAAATTGCTGTGAATGATGTTCCTGTTGTAATGGAAATCAACACGGGCAGTGGCATTTCAATCATTTCTGTCCATGATTTTGAGTCACTTGGGGTGTCTCGTACAAATTTAACCAAACCGAGTGTACGCATGACCGGTTTTTCTGGGGCAGAAATCAAATGTATCGGTGAAGGGAAGTTAAATGTCAGCATTGATGGTGTGGAGAAACCAACACTTCTCCGTGTGGTGGATAATGGTGGTCCGTCGTTGCTGGGCAGGGATATGTTGTCCCAATTTACTCTATCGTGGAAACAGATTGTCAATGTCAATCATGTTCAAATGGATGGTAGGAGGAGAGCTCTCATTGAGGAATTTGAGGAGCTGTTTGATACGACTCAGGGTGGCAAGCTGGGGTCGGCTCAAATCACCCTGAGAGTGGATGATTCTGATCCAATTTTCCACAAGGCGCGTCCCGTACCGTTCTCTATCACGGAGAAGTACGAGGAGGCTTTGGAGAAATTGGAAGCAGAGGGAGTTATTTGCAAAGTTGAGCACTCCAAATGGGCATCGCCTACTGTGCCAGTACTGAAATCGGATGGTAGTATCCGAATTTGTGCTGATTACTCTCGCTCAATCAATGCCAAGTCTGATTTGGAGCACTACCCGCTACCTACTATTGAGGAAATGTTAGCGAAATTGTCGGGGGGAGATAAATTCACCAGCAACAACGACGCCAGTGTCACGGCAGCGGAGCTAGGCGCGCCGGTCTCAGCAACAACCGGTACTAGTGAGTCTGCGTCGGTTAGCACTTCACGTACCAGCTAGAGCAAGGCGTTGTCACCTCAAGCTGAACGACGGTCAACCCGCGCTACTGTTCGACCAGTTTGTTTCAAGGATTGACGTTCAGAACACACACTTCATATAGACCTATTCTAGTCTGTGGAGTTTAAATGATATATTTTGGACTCTGCTGGATATTGTATATAATTATATATTTATGGTGTATAGTGTATCATGAAATATTATGTCTCGGCAGTTGTGAGTTTTGAGATTGCATGTTGATAATTTTACTATTGCATAGTTCTAGGTGCTTCGCCTCAACTAGTGAGGAGGAAATTGTCATGTCCTGGACATGGACCATATGTATGTAGTGCGCATGCTCGCACATGAGCTTGGTCTTTTTCGGATATGGAGTTTGAGATGAACTGAAATCTGTAACGGCCTCGAGTGTGTGTGTGATCGAGCTGGATGAGTCCGAGTAGAACCCACCTGGGGTAGGACACAACAGCTCTCCAGAACTCCGCGAAACCAGGAGTACAGGTGTGGTAGCTGGCCCTCGGAGACAATTTCACACACTCAAACAAGGCACTCACTTTGTGGTTTCACGAATACTCGTTAGGACAGAATTATTAGTTACACACTCGGCAAGTAAAGATAAGAAGTGAAAAGAGCACAAGAAAAGAACAATGCAAGAAGACAAAACACACGGCGAACGGCAGCCCTGTTCTTTAGGTCATCAACCAATGAGCAATCTATATAAACCGGTCGCCGACGAAATTCTAGAATATTCCAGAGCTGTGAACTGTGATTGGTTAATCATGCCAATGTTCTAGAACAATAACACTAGCAGCAGTCATACGGGTAAATACGGGTTTAGCCATACACGACTCATACATTACTCACGAGCGACTCACGGAAAGGGTAATAACATGCAGATACAAAATACGCAAGGAGAGAAAAAATGTAACTAACTGCCCATCTTGGAGTTTGAACCTAGGAATTTGTATCAACACAAGCTCTACAAATAAATACTCTTTTACTGCGAAAAATATACTTTCTATTAAAATGCAACTCCTACACAGGCACAGTCAAACTGATTCCAATTTCTATGATGGCTACTCCTGCTAGCACTGAACGGCAGCGGCCAGCAAGACCAGTCGACTTACTGTAGCCACAAGGCTCCCGTCGGACTGCAGACTTCTGAATGAATTCATGGTCATCAGCATTCGAATCTCGGCTTTGTGCAGGTTGAACAATAACTTGAATTCAGAATTATTTAATTATGCTGTGCGATCGGAGCAGCTCCTTGTTTACTCGCCCATCGTGTGGGCTCGCTGCTCCGTTCCATCGCTCTCTATCACTCTCAAATTCAGTGCTTGAGAAGTAGAGAGGCCGAGCAGCGCATTATCCCCTCAGAGAAGTAGTATTTCAGTTTTGATTGCCACGACTGTCATCACTATCGATTCCGCTCAGCCTGTTGTAAAAGGTCGCTTTCCCTGCATCGTACCTCTTCCATGACATCCAGGGAAGGCCGAGAAAGTGATCGCGACTCATTTCACGGCAGTTTGTGCGCCAACCAGTCCCTCAAAAATCCATCACGAAGTTTTTTAGTGGAGGAAGTACTGGTGGTGTTAGTGGACATTATAGCGTAACTTGTAGTTCCATGGTCCTTTTTCTCTTCTATAAAATTAAATAAACAATGTGAATAACAAAGTCACAAAGGGTTTGCTTGAATAACAAAGTCACAAAGTTATTATTATTTCCAGGGGAAGATAAAAAAAACTGCATACCTGGCCTTCACATTCATGCCACATGAAGGCAAGAGCTCAAAACCAAGATTGTGATGCTTTGAGTATGCGCCAATGCACACGAGCACCTCCCTTATCAGGCCACTTACGTGTTGTATGGTGAATTCAACAGGAAAGGCAGTTCTAGCCTTCTATTTGTGCCAGCGCAAACATAGTCTACAATTCCAATTGAATTTACTGTGGGCAATACCGGATGGTAAAACTTTTTTTTCATTTCGTCTTCTCACCATCCTTTCAAATACATTCTAAGCTATGTGTGCATTTGAACTGGGATGTTGAGCCAACGTCATCATGGCTAAATACAGGAAGGACAACATGTTACGAGTTATGACCAATGCGGTTGCCAATGTAACCGAAATGCATGCAGGTAAGTATGCCCTTATTTGATAATCGTCTCTGGGTTGGTCTGTTTATGACCTGGGACAATCTATACCAGAGAAAACCACACTTCCTTTGCAAACGTGTTCATGTCCCGACTTGGTTTGTACGCCTTACACTCTGCCCTTGCCTTCATGCTATGTACGGAATTCTGAATTCTGTTTTCCTGCAGACAATTGCAACTACTTTAATGTCACGTGTCCTCAGGCTGAGCAATGCTTTAGCACCTCAGGGTCCTACACATGCTGCATGCTCGGCTTTGGACTCGATGCACAGGGGAAATGCGCTCGTAAGTTCCTCTGTGTGACTCTGTTACTCAATCGAATGCATCATGACATGTGCAGTGACTGCAACTGAAATCCGACACATGATTAGCGTGGTCAATATTTTTCAAGTGTCTGCTCTGAACGTTGGAGCTCGCGCTTCCTGCCGACTGGCTCGACACTTGACTGACTAACGACTGCGTCTGGAGAACACGAGGAGCACGTCGAACCTTCAATTCTGCAAACCTGCAAGAAAGCCCCACTCCGTGCTCAATACACAGTTTTCATATTATTGGGAAAGGAACAGTATTATTGGAAACTCGGATGTCGAGCCATAAATAAATGTAGAAAGGGAAAGGACATATGGATACGAGTTAAGAGTAACTCTCCATCACTGTAACTGGATACTATATACAGTCAGAAAGTGCAATAACTAGGCACAAAACTGACAAGAGTACTGAGACATTATACGTCCTGACACCTAGCTTCAAAACATCTCCGTTGCACTAACCAACAGCCTTCCAACTTGGAAGGTTCAAGGTTATGAAAAGACCAAAGAGGGGAAGGCAAGCGCAACGAAAACGAGCAAAAGCTACAGTCCCAACGGAACAAAGAATGTCGATTGTTACTGGACGATGACGAGACCAGTACGATATTTGACAAGTCGGTCTAACTACAATTCGAAGCAGCAGCCTAGTTATTGCACTTTCTGACTGGATATACAGGTAGACTCCCTTTAATTCGAACCTCAAATTGCCAGGCCCTTACTTCGAATTATCCGGAACTTCTAATTATCCAAATTCAGCCCCATGCAGTGACATGTATGTCAAAATGCTTGAAATCGCATGCTGAATATTTTTTGCACTTTTTTATTTGCATCAACGAAACATAGGTGGTTGTATACGCGTACCTGTCATGTACAACGGATCATCAAAACACTGGATTGACACAAAATCCGATTTGACATTATCTTCATCAACTAGTGACGAAGTTGTCAGTCACTGCAGCTTTCCTGAAACAATTTCAACGGAAAAGAACTGCGCTGCCTAATCTGCGTCATGAAAGGCCGTCGGACAGCAGCACGTCGTTTTGGAGAACGGAAGTGGAGCATAAGCATAGACAATATTTACAACAATAGTGCTGTTGTGCGCCAACATCTCCGCGCACCAGCTGGCGCGGCAAGAAAGGCCATCGAGATCCGCGAAGGGAGTCGTCCACCTGGAAGAAGTCGTCTTCAATCAAACCTTTGCAATTTGCCTCGCACGGGCTTGAATCAAATTTCGAGAGAAGGTGGGTTTCTTGAACGCTATTAGTCGATCCTGCAGCGGATCATCGATCGATTTTTGAGCTACTCTTGGCTAGAGAAGGAGAAAAGAATGAACTTCGAATTACAAGGATAGCAACTCAATCTCACTTCGAAATAAGCGTTCAAATGACATAGCGAATGTACTGTAAACAGCTCTTCTGTACGAAGACTGGGTTCGAATTATCCAACCGGCGCACTTTTCGTACTTCGAATTATGCATTCGATTTTGACTTGAACTGACTTGCAGAAGATCGGTACGACGTAAAAGTTCGAATTACACGGAATGTTCGAATTATACCGTATTCGAATTAGAGGGAGTCTACCTGTAGTATCCAGTTACAGTGATGGAGAGTTACTCTTAACTCGTATCCATATGTCCTTTCCCTTTCTACATATATTTATGGCTCGACATCCGAGTTTCAAATTGCACACCTCATCGTCCAGTAACAATCGACATTCTTTGTTCCGTTGGGACTGTAGCTTTTGCTCGTTTTCGATGCGCTTGCCTTCCCCTCTTTGGTCTTTTCATAACCTTGCACCTTCCAAGTTGGAAGGCTGTCGGTTAGCACACCGGAGATGTGTTGACGCTAGGTGTCAGGACGTCGAATGTCTCAGTACTCTTGTCAGTTTTGTGCCTAGTTATTGCACTTTCTGACTGTATATAGTATCCAGTTACAGTGATGGAGAGTTACTCTTAACAGTATTATTATTATTACTTTAATAACGAAGGTACGTGTTGGGCCGTAAGTGTCCACGCAAACACACATCCAGTCAAAATAAGGCACTTGCCAAAGCATCCGAACGTTTTCGGTCCCTTCTCATCAAGGATTTTACAGGGAATGGCTCAAGTTGGAAAGACTAAAAACTTATATAGCGTAAAGATATGAGATAACAACGCTCGTGACAAGGTGGAAAATTATCAAGTTCAGTACGACACAAAACTCGAAGGAAATGATAATAGTGACAACAACATAGTGAGCAAATTAAGTTACATTGTTACCACCTCGACGAGGAATAACACCAAACAATTGTAGCGACAACACATTTTCTTTCTGTACGCAAAGTTCAGGATCTAACTTACGGATATACAAAGCTTCTTACAAAGCCAGACGCAACGCACATCTACCACACGACAAGAGGCGAAGAGGCGAGATGACGGGACATTGGAGGAGACAACACCCAACGGAGCTAAGAATCACACTTCGTCAATCAAGCAACATCTATCAGCCCGTACCAATTGTCGTGAGTTGTACAGTGATAATGTGTTCTCAATATTGTCCCTCCTTGCGCCCTTGTCCGTTGAGTGCGTAGCTTCTGCTGTAGTTTGCTGTTGATCACGACGGTGCGTGCATTTACGGTGCGGAAGGATGTCCTACCAGCCCTTCACCTTAGTCATCTTATTTACAACTTTGAATGCCGACAATGCGCTAGTCGGAATGTTGGTAGGACTGTTCAGCACCTAAACGCACGCATCAAGCAACACCCACCACGTCACATACTTCCACCTTGCGCACAGCAACAACGACCAAAGCGAGGGCGACCCAGAAAACAACCGTTACCTACACACCTTGTGGATCCTGGTTCACAGACTGTGCTTGCTCCGCCGTCGCTGGTGGCGGTGGCGGAGGACGGTGGGCGTGGTGGCTCATCGGGCCGGCTTGTGTCGCCGCCTTTGCTCCTGCCGTCAGTGGTTCCTTCGCCAGTGCCCCCGGCGGCTTTGGCTGGGGTGGTGCCGCTTGCGGTCCCGGTCCCACTGCCTCCTCCTGATCCTCCGCCATCGGCTCTTGCGGCGGTGGAGCTTGCCAGTGACAGACCGCGAGCAACACCGACAATGGCAATACAGTCAGACCTCGCATAGCCGCACATATCCGTTTTCCACAAAAATATCCGGATAGGCGAGGGAACCGGATAATCGAACACACATACTGTATGTAAGCATGGCATATGCTGTACATTTGTAACCAACTATTTTCTTCCGGATGGCGAGGGATCCGGATAAGCGAGGTTTGACTGTAACACTGAAAGTGCCAACTCAAAAAGACCCACCTTGCGTATGGGCAGCTCCCACACCATCACCAACAATGCAGTATACAGCAAACACAACTAATCCACCATCCAAGCCCACTATTGAAAGACCAAGACGATCAACAGCCAACTACAACAGAAGCTATGCACTCAACAGACAAGGGCGCAAGGAGGGACGTGACAGCAGGGTGAGGGCGGGTCCCGTTCAATGGACCAAGTCAGGCGGGATAAAAGAGAGAGCAGAGAGGAAGCGGATGATGGGACGGACGGCGAAGGGAGCAATGAGTCGGAGAGCGACGATTGTAGTGATCGTGAGAGTGCCGGTGAGAATGTTAGTGTTGTGTGTAGGTTTTGTGGTAGCAAGTCTTCAGTGTACAATTATCTGTTGGCTAGTCCTGATTGTTGCAATTCGTATTCCGACTCTTCTTTCACTGTATTGTGCCGTGGTCGTCATGGTTATGAACTACAGTTAAACGTTTTGGAAGCCATCTGTCTCCGTCTGTATAAGCCTAATTTGTGTGTACAGAAGGATAGTATAATTGGGTTGAAATTGTTCAAGGAAAGTGTCATGTTTGGTGCGGCCAAGCTTGGCCGTTAATTTTCTAGGTGTAATGTCCTCCTGTTATTTGTTATCACTTTGTCCCTTTCTCTTCTTTGTTCATTTTTCAGTTGCAAGTTTAGTGTTAGTACACGCATTCGTTATTGCTCTCGCTTTCATTGATAAAATTCACACTTGTAAATTTCACTGCTGTTGTTCTTAGTGTTATTTTTCTAACTTGTATTTTCTATAATAGTTCAATTTTGTTTTCATTGTCCTTTAGTACAACGAAGATTCCTGAGTGTTGTACGAAAACTTGTTTGAATCCTCATTTTCTCTGCACCATTTCTTCACATTTTCATCGTTTTATTGCACATTGTCTCCACAGTTTTACATTACATGAATAAAGTGTACACAAATGTCGATCCAGCTTGTATTACTGATTGCGGTTATCAAATTGTTGTCTCCTCGCTGTTTGTTCAATTACGATTTATTATTATTATTAAAAGCATGTCCGCGTAGGTGGCAGGGGTGCCACTTTTGCGTATGCCATTCAGGATTGATGTCTGAAGACAGTGAAGAGTAATACGATACAATGAAATGACACAAGTGACGTCAACAAAAGCCGTTAGCAACAATACCAATATGACTACTGGAAAACTTCATCCAAAGTATAAAATAAAATAGAATATGCATACAACATGTCTGGCGGAATCACGTGGATCACGAGAATCAGTCCTGTTAGGTGTGGCGGGCTCCACGCCATGCCTGTCGGTCCGCTGCCATTGTGCGGACTGCGTCAACATCTGAGGGTAAGTCCATGCGATGATAACGGTTCCGTCTGCAAGACCGTTACCAAAGTCGTCCGAGGGCGACCCCTGAAGCGTTCAGTGCCCTAGTCGTTGGCCAAGCGAAGATGTCACGTCCCAGAATAAGACAACTGCTGCCTGATAGTCCTGTGACAGCAGGATCTACATAGTGAGCAGCTCTGTGCTGAGCTGTCACGCCCTTTTAGCTTTAGTACAACGTGGTTTGGCCAGTGTCTTGTCCCACGTGCTTAGCATGTAGGTTGAGCGACACGCGCTTTCCCATGTAGGTGACATGCCTTCTTGGCATGTCACATCATGTGATCCAAGGCCGGAACCTGGTCAGGTAGG